AGAAACCTTTACAACCGTTATGCAAAAGCAACTTATTCATTCTAAAATTTTAGCATCAATTTGATTACCTATTGCACGTATCAACGTCAATAAGATAATATGTATTTTCTGATACACGAGACATAACAAGAATTAAACTTGCATTAATGTAGACCTAACAAAATGAGAAAAGTGGCGTAACAAATAATACAATAATAAGAATAACATATTTGGTATAACAAATTTGGTATAGTCTAAAATTTTATTTTTTTTTTGCAGATAGTTCACGAATATAAGGTGCAACCACTAAAAAGAATGACATGCATATGTAATGTAAAAATGAATATAAAATGAATGTAGTTACATTGTGTCATCCGGTATTCGGGTCCATAGTGGAAGCCGAACTTCAATAATGGAAAGCCAAAGTTGAAGCTTACTTCAGACGCTATGGGGAAGAAGTGGGTCACCAAATATTTGGTTCAAAGGAAAGACTTGCAATAACATAGTACGGAAGTCAGTCTGCTGTTTGCTTCCATCCGTACACGCTTCTACTTGAATCCCTGTGCACGCGCTCTCCAACAATTTAACGTCTCCGTTTGGACCGTTTTGCCCCCAACACGTGTCGCTCTCTGCCGGCATTCCTACCATAGGCAGGTTCTTACCATAAAGGTATCCATCCTTTGGGTGAAAAATCACTAGGCTATGAGCGTCTACTTAATAGCTCAACAACAGAAGAATCCCTCCAAATAAAATTGACTACAAACCCAAAAGTAACCGTGGCAGCTTCTGGCAGTGGCGCAGAAGAGCCAAATACAAAAGTCCCAGTAATGTTTCCTTCATCTAGTATTATACTTTCTATTTTGATCTGTCTCAAAGTAATTGTCATTTACCTTAAATGGCAAATAACGGTCCTTTGGCATCTGAGTTTTTTGAAAATTTGTTTAAAACTTTTATTGTAGTGTACTCTAGAAGTTTTTGAAAAAATTTTTTATGATGAAAATTTTTTTTTCCTTTTCTTTTTCTTTCTTTCCTTTTTCTTTTCTTTCCTCTCTTCTTCTTCTTCTCCCTTTGCCTCACATTTTGTTACAAAAAAATCCTAAAAATAGCAATCCAAAAATAGGTCTGAACTGAGTGTGGCTTGTCATTTGCGGTACAAATTTAACCCAGTGCGTGCAGACACGAGCTAGCTCTAGGAAACATTACTACTACATGACATGACCCCAGAAGTCCTTTCTTATCTTTCCAATAAAGCTACGGGGATAGAAGAGGAAACTAGACCAAAACAAAGCTTTGTGGGCTACCGATGAAAAAAATGCACAACTCCCTAAATGTGATAAATAATTCGAAGCATCATTCCCTTAGTAACAGCAGCATCATTACTGACAGAAATGGCAACAAGAGTAGAGGGAATTGTGGAGGGAATTAATCGATTCGCAAGTGAATCAGAATTTGAACCCAAAATCCAAAGCCAGATCCACCAATGGAGAGAGTCTAGATAACGTTAAAATGACAAATGTCCTAAAGGTCTGAGACCCACCATGGTGACGTTCTTACATGGGTAAATTCTGTAGTGTATTCATCTAATCCAAAGACAGGTGTGGAAAGGTAAAAAATATGGCAAAGAAGCAGGCACGTGGAAAGGTAAAGAATATGGCACAGAAACTGACATGTACGGATGATGAAAGGAATATGTTTACAAAAGCAAGTGATGACCTATAACAGGCACGGGCCGGTTTGGAAATGTTGCGTATGGCAGAAGCTGAAAATGTATTGGGGTGTCACGGAATTAACATATATATAATGGGTCTAGAAATAAAACACCGAAGAGGAAGCGTAAGCAGTACTAAACACAGCCATGCTTGGTTTTGAAACAACATATGGACATTAGTGAATAACGAGTTGAGAGCCTTTAAAAAGTGAAACTTAAGAAAATAAATGTTTGAAATATTAAGTTTTTTAATTATGTAATCTATTTTGATTATCGCTGTTCTAATATATAGTCATTTGGAGGATTTCTAGAGCTGAAGTACTAAATTCTTTTTGGACTTTTAATAAATTTGAGTTATTTTTCTTTTGGTTTCTCACTTGTCTAACAACTTTTATCTAACCTACTAAATTTGAATTATTGAAATTGATTTTAATTGTTATATTAGTAAAATATTAACATTTGTGGAAATTAGGTTCATGGGAAGACAGATTGTTGCCTGTTTCATATTTAATTGAATACAAATATCTCTACTTTACATAAAGCGTCCAAGACTGAGGAATAGTGGATTCCAATTGATTCTCCCGATTATGGGTATTACATCAACAAAATACTATCTATTTATGGGCATTTTACTCTGAATAATTACCATTATGTAAAATAAATAAATGTTTATAACTAAAATTGAAAAACAGTTACACTAATATTTTTGTGAAAGGTAAACTGATTGTCCTGTATTTAGCATAAACTGATTTTGTAAAAAATAAATTGCCCATAACATACTTGCTTTTTATAATTTTTTTTGCATTATATCAACAAAATACTAGCTATTTATGGATATTTTACTCTGAATCATTATATTTATGTAAAATACATAAATGTTTGTAACTAAAATTGAAAAAGTGTTACACTAATATTTTTACAAAAAGAAAACTAGTAAATTTTGTATTTAACAATTTTTAAATATGTGAAAGTAAAAACGTTTTTGCCCATAACATACCAGCTCTTTATGAGTTTTTTGCATTACATCAATAAAATACTAACTATTTATGGGTATTTTACTCTGAATCATTATATTTATATAAAATACATAAATGTTTGTAACTAAAATTGAAAAAGTGTTACACTAATATTTTTATAAAAAGGAAACTAGTAAATTTTGTATTTAACAATTTTTAAATATGTGAAAGTAAAAAAGTTTTTGCCCATAACATACCAGCTCTTTATGAGTTTTTTGCATTACATCAACAAAATACTAACTATTTATGGGTATTTTATTCTGAATCATTATATTTATATAAAATACATAAATGTTTGTAACTAAAATTGAAAAAGTATTATACTTATATTTTTAAGAAAGGGAAACTGGTAGATTTTGTATTTAACAAAATTTAAATATGTGAAAGTAAAAAAGATTGCGCCCATAACATACCAGCTCTTTATGGATTTTTTGCATTAAATTAACAAAATACTAGCTATTTATGGGCATTTTATTCTGAATCACTACATTTTTGTAAAATAAATAAATGTTTGTAACTAAAATTGAAAAGGTGTTATACTTATATTTTTACGAAAGAGAAACTGGTAAAATTTGTATTTAACATAAATTAAATATGTTAAAACAACATTACAGGTGATTTTATTAGTTATTTAATTTGTTGGTAAGAAACAAGGTTTTTTTTTTGCAAAATTTGTTCATTAGATTTTTTCAAATAATTAGGATATAAAGGTAAATTTTCACAATCTTTTATTAGCAATAGACCCCAATTTCTTCCTAAGCAGTGACGAAATCAAGATTTTTTCCTTGGAGGGGGAGCCAAAATGATTGACAAATAAAATTATTTTAATATGTTATGTTCAAAATAATTTTCATCTATTTAAATATATGGCATCCTAAAATATCAAATATTAACTTTAATTATAAAGGTATGTCTATTTAATAAATATGTAATATAGTCATAACAAAAATTAAGATAAGAAATAACATTTGATTAAATATTTTATAGGAAAAAATGCACTTTTCATCCTCAAAGTTTAGGTGGTTGGCTAATTTCATCCTCAAAGTTTCACCCCAAACATATTGCATCCTCAAAGTTTCGTAATTTTGGCCAATTAAGGACAATTGACGGGAAATGAAGAATTGATCGTTAGAACCAACGATTTTACCCAACAAAAAATGGGTAAAATCGAATAGAACCATTTTTAACGGAACAATTGCAACGGACAAAAAGCTCAATTCTTCTCCTTCTTCGCTCTGCCTTTATGCAACCCCAAAATTTTTTTGCCAATCTCTGGAGTTTTAACGACCGTTATACAACTTTCAAAACAAATAAATTCATTCTAAATTTTTATTTGGGATTATTTCATAAACCAAATTACGGTCACTTTGTGTAAAGTATCACTTTCCCATAAAAAACCAGTTCTTTATGGTTTTCCTCCATTATTAGAACAGGGTACCCATTTTTTTATAACTAAATTTATTTATCGAATAAAATAAAAATAAATTCATTTTCTAATAAAAGACCAGCTCTTTATGGTTTTCCTCGATTATAAGAACAGAGTACCCATTTTCTCATAAATAAATTTATTTATCAGATAAAATAAAAATAAATCTATTTTTTAATAAAAGACCAGCTCTTTATGACTTTCCTCCATTATAAGAACAGAGTACCAATTTTTTCATAAATAAATTTATTTATCGGATAAAATAAAAATAAACCCGTTTTTCAATAAAAGACTGGCTCTTTATGACTTTCCTCCATTTTAAGAACAAAGCACCCATTTTTCCATAAATAAATTTATTTATCCGATAAAATAAAAATAAACCCATTTTTTCAATAAAACACCAGATCTTTATGACTTTCCTCCATTATAAGAACAGAGTACCCATTTTGAAAGTAAAAAGGAATTTGTTTATCGGATAAAATAAAAATAAACTCATTTTCAATAAAATACCAACTCTTTATGACTTTTTTTCATTATAAGAAAAGAGTGCCCATTTTGTCATACACAAGTAACTTCTTTAATTAGAAACCATCGACCCCTTACCAAAGACGATCAAATGCAACTAAATGATTTTCTTGCAAGAAAGTTGCCAAAAGCAGCTTTGTGACTGTAGTTGCTACTTTTTTTTTCAACCATTTTTCAACGGTACAAAGCACAAAGATACTCAAAGCCAAAAGCCAAAAGCCAATTCTACAGCCAAAAGCCAATTCTACAGCCAAAAGCCAAAAATATCTTTTTTCCCTAAACAACAATTCTACAGCTAAAAGCCAAACGAAAATGGAAAATGTCGAGAGCTCAATTGCCAACAAAGCTCTTTCTTCGCAGCAGCATGTTGGGCCAACCACAGCACTCGCACGTACTTTCCTACAGCTCGTCCTGCAAAAGGGTGGAAGTAAGAGAGTTAAAACAATTGAAATTTCTGATAACAAATCATCATGGTTAACTCAACACTGAAGGATCAGACAAGCCCTTACTTTAACATTTTCCTCAGCTGCGGCAGTAACATCTTCCTTTGTTTCTGATTTGGCGTCTGCATCATCACTATCTGTTTCATCAGCAGCATCATCATCATCGCCTTCCTCAGCCTAAAAGAACAAGTTTTTCCCATTAAGAAAGTGCACGTAATAAGAACATATCACAGATAAAATCTGGACCAAAAAGAGTCTCTTTTGAGAGCAACATTTTAGTCAGGAACTTACATCAGAATCGACTGGGCCATCCTTTGCTTCCTGAAACAAAATCAGACAGGAGTTTGAGATATAAGTTGTCTCTTCATAATCAAATGATCACTGTTCAAATAATGCAGTATAAAGGAAGTCCAAAGTCCAAACTATACAGAAATGGAATTCAAATGTACACAAGACATCATGCAACAAAGGAGAATTAATGAAAAGTACCTCCTCCTTCTCTTCTTTTCTGCCTCATCAAAAGCAGCTTTTTCAGCCTACAACATGAACATTTTCATGTGTCAACAAGCAGACGAAAGTAATTTAAACCTATTTATTTTTTTATTTTTTGTGCATCGCTTGGGGAAAAAAAATTCCACATACATCCTTATGCTTGCCCCATGTCTCTTCAGCCAACTTCTTAGCATATTCAGGATCATCAGATACCAATACATTGTCAAATAGAGTTCCAGATGTCACCTGAAGAGATACCAATATATTGTCAAATAGAGTTTTTCTTTGCGATTGTTAAATTGACCAAAAATGCAAGAAAAAGGCAATTGACAAAACAGAGATGAAAATAACATATTAAAAAACCTACACCATCGCTTTTCCTTGAAGTCTGCCATTGCATCGGAAGGGTCTTTAAAGTGTGTCCATGATTGTATAAATTCAGATCTGGATGCTAGAGAGGAAGAGGGGAACCATATGTCTATGGAAACTGAAAATTGATAGAGAGGGAAAGAGAGATAGAAGGAGAAAGGTGCAGGGGAGGTTGCGATTGAACTTTCGAGCGCTCTGATCTGAGAACAATATTTGGGAAAGTAGCCTTGCAAGTATGGAAGGCTTGGAATTCATGTGGTGCTAGGCTTGACAAGTGCTGTGCCGGGAATGGTTAAAAAATTTTCAATGCGCGGCTCTGCTAAAAATTGGAAGGGAGCAAAATTTTGAAATTTTCACAAAAAAGCACCCATGATTTCTCACCAATAACATAGAAACTTTGGCCCACTAGAATCAGTATTTGGAGGGAAGCTTTCCCGCTCTCCTTTTGGCGAGAATTTTAAGCGAGAAAAGTCCTTGCCCTCGCAGAGTATATGATGGCTCCAATTTTTGGTGAGGTATTGTCCTTTTCCTTGCTATAAGCCTCTTAAGAGCGTCAAGCTTTCTACTTCTTCCTAAAGTTGTTGTCGCTAATACCCTTTTTTGTTGTAGTGAAGGGAGGAAAATCATAAAAAACTGGTGTTTTATTGAAAAATATATTTATTTTTTCATCCGATAAATAAATTTATTTATGAAAAAATGGTACTCTGTTCTTATAATAGATGAAAACTATAAAGAGCTTGTGTTTTATTGAAAAACGGGTTCATTTTTATTTTATTCGATAAATAATATTTTTTTTTAGAAAAATGGGTACTATATTCTTATAATGGAGGAAAGTTCATAAAGAACTGGTTTTTTATTGAAAAAAGAGTTTATTTTTATTTTATTCGATAAACAAATTTGTTTATGGCAAAATGGATACTCTTTTCTTATAAGGGAGGGAAGCCATAAAGAGCTGATGTTTTATTGAGAAACGGGTTCATTTTTTTTTTCGATAAATAAATTTTTTTTATCCGATAAATAAATTTGTTTATGGCAAAATGGGTACACGGTTCTTATAATAGAGGAAAGGCATAAAGAGTTAGGATTTTATTGAAAAATGGGTTTATTTTTATTTTATCTGATAAATAATTTTTTTTAAGAAAATGGGTAGAGAAAAGTCATAAAGAGTTTATTTTTTTATTGAAAAACGGGTTTATTACAATTTTATTCCAGCCAACTGTGACCCATTTTCCCATTAACCTAAGTTAGACGGACTAAATCATTGAGTTTGTTAACCACAGTCAAAATTAACACAGAAGCAACTGACTCAAATTACTCAATCCTTTATGGCTTATACCGAATGAATACTAGGAAGCTTATTTGAAATAACAATAAAAATATTCTATAAATGATTAAAATTTAGTACATTAGTTAGTAAGTACTTGTAACATACTTGTATAATGCATGATTATATGTATAATTTAATATTCTTTTGTACTTATATATTTTAAAAATATTTTGACCTTTCACATAACCTTAGAAAATAATAAAATTTTATCGTATTATAAAATAATAATTTTATCTTATTATATTCATAGGTTTTAAGTTATAAAAATTGTGATATAGAAACAAGTGATATTCTACATGTAACTAGGAAGATTTGTTGTTATTGTTATCCAAACTTTCAAATTTTTCAAAAATTGAAAATGATTACAAACTTACTATTCTACAATTAGTATAATTTGTTAATTAGCCAAAATTCTAGCAAAAGGCAAGCAAATGCAACTTGTAATCAATCCATTCTGATGCATGAAAAAATAAGGTAGCATTCTGCAAATAAATAAAAAAATCCACTTTATATAGTTCGTTGTGACAACCAGGCTTATCCCCACTTTTGTTTGAGTTTTGATTACAATGGATATAACCTATTCCCTCCAAACCCCAAATTTTGAATTATAACATTCAACCAAAACATGCTCAAACTCTCAGGCTCGGTCATACAAGGACAACTAGTGTGAATATCCGTGCTACGCACGGTACTTACATTATTAAAATAAATTAAAAAATTATACCATTTTAATTTGAAAAAAGTTAAAAAAATTATACCAACATAATTAAAATTTAAGATTTGTCTAACAATAGTTCAAAATATGACAAAAACTGTAAATCATTCAAGAATTGTGTTTTTGCAAAAGATGGATCTTAAAATAATAATAATAATTTATATTAGAAAATGAATGATATATGGATAGAAATAAATGTAATTGCATGTTTTTTTATTTTAAAATGAAATACTTACCAATATTATGCATTCGATTTGATAATCTTATATATATGCATTATGAGAATATATATATGTATGTATATATGTGTGTGTGTGTGAATTAACTACCTTTGAATTAATTTTTATTAAAAAAATTATTTATTTTTAATGCCTTTATAATTTGTGAATGATTGTGAGAGTAAAATATATTATGACAATAAGATACGTTGAATTGTGAAAATTGTAATTTAAACAGGCTCCTAAATTTTGGATATTTGACTTTCGTAGTTGCGAATTTCTTAAATTAACGGTTAGTTATTACTCTAAGTGATATGGTAAGTGTCAGTAATAAATGTGAGATGTGAATTGGAATTTGCAGATATCATTTTACAGGGGTGGTTATTATCCGTTAGTTAAAGTTTAGGAGTTTGAATTTTATGGGGTAGTGGAAAAAACATAAGGGAAATGTGGAAAAAATATAAGTATGATTATAGGATTTGTAGGGCCGGTTACATGATTAGTTAAGAGATAAATATTTTTTAATTAAAAAATGTAAAATTCTATTAAAATAGCATTCAGACTTTTGATAATTTTGGAAGCTCCTTATCCAAAACCCCCTCAGCAATACATTTAGATATAGATACTAAACGATAGTTATGATAGCGAAATAGTTTTTACCTGATATAACACGTTGTTGCACTTTTAGCGATCATTTGATTTATTGTTGGACATATTCGCCTAAATAAAATAACACCTAAAATTATGGAAGTAAGTTTCCTATCTAAAATAGTAAGTTAAGTGTAATAGATTAGTAACTTTTATACCTCAAAAGGTAAATTGGAATAAATATTAAACTTAATTTTTAAATAAATAGATTACTACTTGATATCCCAAACTTACTTTTAAAAGAGTAAGTTTAGTTCAAATAACAGTAAGTTTTTATACATAAATAGTAATTCTTACTAATAACATGGCAATAAAAATGATTAAGGATCAAAATTTACCATTTTTTGGAATGCATGTACAATTTTTACATTAAAACCTTATCTCAAAGTAGTATTAGGAAGTTATTTGAAATAATGATAAGATGTTTTTATTAATGATTAAAACTCAGTACTTAGTTAGTAAGCACTCATAATATACCTTAGTAAGTTTTAATTCAAGTAATAGTAAGTTTTTATACATAAATAGTAATTATTACTGATAACATGGCCAAATTTGATTATAATCAAGATTTATTGATTTTATGGGACGTATGTACTATTTTCTTTAAACTTAATCTCAAACTAGTATTAGGAAGTTTATTTGAAATAACGATAAGATGTTTTATGAAATGATTAAAACTTAGTACGCTTAGTTAGTAAGTACTCATAATATATCGTATAAACATGATTATAGGTATAATTTAAAATTTGTTGTACTTATATATTTTAAAATACTATGAAAAATAGTATGAACTAAACCTACTCTCCAAAAAGTAAATTTCAGATATGCAGTAGTAATTTATTTTAAAAAATTTAAGTTGCATATTTATTTCAATTTACGCTTGAACATACATCGATCGGTGCTCTCTGGATGCGTCCAAGCTCCAGTGAATGTCTTTAAACTAAATTCTAATCAAAGTAGTATCCAAAATGTAATGATTCAGAGTAAAATGCCCATAAAACTTAGTACAAGGCAGCTAGTGTGAATATCCGTGCTATCCAAAATATTTATGTATTTTACATAAATATAATGATTCAGAGTAAAATGCCCATAAATAGATAGTATTTTGTTGATGTAATGCCCATAATCCGTGGCCCCAGGATGGCTTTGTTTAGTAATTAGTACTGCTTACGCTTCTTCACAAATGTTTTATTCTTAGGCCCTTTATATTTATGTTAATTTCGTGACATCCAACACATTTTTAACTTCTGCAGTACACAACATTTCCAAATCCCGTTATAGGTCACCACGTACTTTTGTAAAAATAATCCTTCTTGATCCGTACATGTCAGGTTGCAACGTGCCGCTTTCTTTGCCATATGCTTTACTTTCCACACCTCTTCTTTGATTACTAAAATACTGCAGCAACATCCTTTAAAAATCAAGTCTACTTGAGTACGAGGCTTCTTATATAGTTGTGGACCATTGATGTTGTGTAGTCTAGTGAAAATTTGAGTTGTAATTTTGCACAATGGACAGAATAAATTACTCTATATTTTTAATTTTTTTCTTTTT